AGAAAACGTCGATTATTAATTAGCCTCGCAATGAGACCCATACGATAGAGAATGAATAAAAGCAGCCGAAACGCGAACGAGAGAATAAATTGCAGAGAATTAAAGGCTCCGTCCAAGAGATTAATCGTTCCACTTAAAAGCCAGGCCCTTAAAAGTTTAATTAGCTACGCTTTTAACGCGCCATGACCGCGCGACGCAGTAATTGCAAGTTCGCCCGAAACCACCGCGATTCTTCTACCTCGTTTGATTCCAGATTCCAACCATCCTAATAATCTTTCTTTAAAAAGGGAATTCGAATTTTTGTGGGACTGTGAATGCTACTTATTTGTCCAAATTCTTTACATGCGAGGATCAGAGTATTTAAGTTAACTTCTCACTAGGTTCCCGCCAAGACTAATGGCAAATGGCGGACAATTCCCTTTCTCATAATTTATTTCAAATAAAAAGAATAGAGTAGATTTTTATAGGGAAAGTTAGTGTACTCTACCCCGAACCCCAAAGAAGTGGCGTGATGCAACAATTCATAGAAATTACACTTTGTTCGTTGAATGAAAGTCGCCGGTGGTTCGCGAAACCGGGGCGAAAAGAAGGCGAACAACAAAGCAATAAATCAGCACTCGTTCATTAATGTGCAAATGGCGCGAATCGAAAAAAGACGCGACCCAACCGGTACGCTCTCGCGCGTGTTGCACACATTGGCCCTTCGACTTTTCCTACCGATTCTTAGAAACGGCAATTAAGATCGAAGCAATTCCTTTGGCGAGCGACAACAAGCCCCGGGTCCCGTGTATTTTTCTTTTACGCTATTAACGAGCCTCCGTGAGAATAATAATTTAATCGGCTAGCCTGCTTGTTTGCCTCTTTGCTGTGCCGCGTGCGAGCACACAGAAACCTTGCAACGATGTAGACGAACGCACACGTTCTCCTCACAGACAACGTGTTTGTCCGGTTATCATTATGCGCAACCTAATTACCGGCCAATGGTTTCATGGAACGCCGGCCGAAATCCAATTGACGAGATGTCCACGCGATTGCCGATTCACCGACGAATTAAACGCCCGCCGCTGTCGCTGCTCGAAACATTTACATATTTAATGCCAAGGACTTGTCGTGAGTTATACTTACTTGAAATGTGGGCGTTGCCCGCGGCCACGTTTCACGTATGTATTTCCTTAGAGAATTTCGATTTTGGCACTGGCCCTCCTGCTGTATTCTACCGACACCAATGTGTCATCCTGGAACCTTTCTATGTTATGCTTTCCGAGCATTCAGCCAATTTATAATAGGTAATAACCTTGTGTTTCTATAATCGAACGGTTATCCAACATTTTTATACCACGAATGTAGAAAATAATTAATTTTTGATATTTAAATATCGGTTGAATTTTAATTGCGCTTCGAATATGTATATTACCGAACATCGAAGCACATGAGCAGAGAAGAATTACCATGACGTGTACTCTGTTCAAAGTTTTATTTCTGATGATGATGATGATTCTTGCAACCAATACACAGGCTATAATATCCCGATGAAAATTAATACCTCGTGCACATTCAAATTATTCCTTAACGACATTACGAAGCCTCGAAACATCTTACACGATGATTGGTCATCTCGTTTGAGCAAACGATCCTCTAATTATTTCGAATAGGGGTATTACGAGATACAATGAAATGATGTACCGCTGTAAGTTCAATGACGAGGCGCGTTTAAATGTCTTTGAATGATCGCGTGTATCATTGCCGGTACTCTCGACACGCGATACCAAACACGTTGACAAAGTCATCCTGTTGTCAAGAATGACTATAACGATTCTATTTACGGATTTATTAGAGGATCCAACTTTATCGTTACTTGCTTCGCGTGATTACGAGCCACCATAAGAATTTTGATATCGTCAGTTTTTAAAACTTCACGAATTATCCTCGTTGAACGAGAAATAGAGGAAGAAATGTCGAAAAATTCCCACTTGCGATCCAAAAAAAATTGTTTATCCGCATAGTAATGAAGCACGGAATATTTCATGCGGATCTCTGAACTCAAAATTCCAAAATCACTCTCCCCCTGTGTTTACATCTTCCATGCAGACTATTAAATTGGCGACCAAATTAGCGACCATCGTGTAACAAATAAATGCAAAAGCATCAAACAAATATTATTATTCGAATCAGAGAAATTCATACCAACGTCATCGTTGTACAGCCTCTTAATCGCGTATAATAAACCTGTTGCAGCGATAATCTTCTGCGAGGCAGAAAATATATCAGGTACTGATAGGTTATTTTTCTTTTTTTCTAAAGTGGGTCATTATTTTCTGACTAGTTAACAAGTGCCTACCGCTGAAAGCGGGGGTACCGATTATCGGGGCCCATAAATATCGTAACGATTTCACGGGGCCCTAGATGCCCGGCTACGTATCGTGAGCGATCGGCTCGTGAAGGAAACAGGTCCTGCTTTGACACTCGCGCCTCTCGAGCGCGTGGGTGTAAGCTGGCTCGCGCGGATCGACTTTCACGAAACGAATTGCAGCGAGCGGGACCAGCGACGCCGACACACCGTACATGGAAACCCGTTTGCGCGTTGTTTCCTGATCGCACGGTTCACCGTCTCGCCCTTAAATAACGCAATTAAAACGTTCCCGGTCGGAAGCGATGGAATCGTTCGCGTCTTTCTGCGGCATCCACGCGAGACGCGGAGGCTGCGGAGTTCCATTATCGAGCTTGGACAACCACGAAATTGACTTTAACGCGCGAGAAATCTTGAGATTAAGGATCGGAGAGGTGCAACGCGATGCATCTTGGAAAGGGATGCGATATTAAACCCGAGGCTTTCGTGGCTGAACTTGTTATATAAATGGGCATAATAAGAGTTTTTGAATATTTGCTTTTTAATTTTGTTCAGGTAAGAGCGTTTCAAGGTTTTGATAACGTTCAACGACACCGTGTCCTGAAAACAGCGAAATATCGCTGAAACAACGGAGACTGTTTGATGAAGTAATGGACGTCGGATGTAGCGAGCGATCCTGATAAACTCTGTTTGCATTAAACCGTTGATTTCGTGCGGGAGACTATCTGTGAAAATAGGTTTAAGTGGGCATGGAACTCGCGAGAAAATCAGAGAGATATAATAATTAAAACGCATAAATTATTAATATTAACGATCTAGATTATTTTATTATTACGGAATTTTTATGCCCGAAGATAAAGAAGAGGAATCAAGAAAAGTTTCTCGCGATGCTTAAAGTTTAATCTTAAATTTTAATGAGCATCTTAATTATACGCCGTCGCTGTTACCGCAAGAGTTTTGAGATTCCAGTGAAAGCCTCGGGTGGTTTTAAGACCCTTTTCACGCACAGCTTGTTGCGTTACATACTGATATTTATCGTGCCTCCTGTGTGAGTCAGAGTTATTCAGATATCTGAAGTATTCAATGTTTTAATCACGAAGCTCTCTGAGAATGAACTTTTCAAAGGTGAGAGGAAAATCATCGTCAAGGTTTCCCAAATTATTTTCTCCGCTGACCATGCGATTAATATTATTTCTACGGGACACCTTTATTGAACGTAAACATTAACGAGATGTGCCATAAAATATTGAATAAATTTGCGCGGAATCGTTTCAATTGAAAAATCACTTTACACGTCGTTAAATTTACGATCAATTCCAGAAAATGATCCACAAACCTCACGGTAAAGAAAACATTACAAACGGAAAAGCACATAAAATTGTCTATTTCCTTAAAATAAGTCGGAGGATGGTACACAGACGAGCCACATACCGCGATAGTAACAATAATCGACGGATAAATAAACGGTGAACTCCGTGCTGTTTACAGTAAAGCAATAATACTTTTCTCACCAGTGAAATAATTTAAATAGATCTTCAATTTCAGACATCGTTGTCTTCTTATTATTTCGAATAAGGAAGATTCCATCGGAGCTTCTTTCAAACGTAATTTAGACATTAACGGGGGTGGAAAAAAAATACAGAAAGATCGCGAGTGTTGTTCGTTCACGGTGTCGAGAGTCAACGTAATAAATTCAGGGAAACGATGCGATGGTTCAAGTGGCGCGGGTGCGGTGAATCCGTAAAACGAACTCGCGGTGGAGTGTTTTAATGGTCTCGCGAGGGAAAGCGAGCGGAATCGTCAACGTCGACGTCGGTTAGCCTGGTATCTCGTGCTCATTGGAATCAAAGCGTGGTTTATCCTTTTCCAGGCTGCGACGAGAGGTTCGTAAATAGTGGCACAGCCATAGCCGCGACCTCGCGACGATTCGTAAGAACCGTGCTCGCTTCTTGCTCGTTTGCGGAGTCAGGATTTATAGCGCGACAAACCTCTGCGGCCGTCTCGATGATAAAATATCGCGTGGACCCGCTGTAACGATGATAATTACAAGAAAATCCTATGTTTCATGCAACACGCGCGAACGACAGGTTCCAGAACACCGTTCGTACGAGTGTGCAGCACACTTTGTACCAACGTTCAAGCCGACTTCTTTTTTTCTCTCTCTCTTTCTCTCATGATTCGTACACGTTTGTGTTTCAACGTGTTCGCGTGACAAACTTTCTAACTGGAACGGCATAATTCGCATGCTCGATCGTGCGATCTCGAAAGGTGTACGACGGTTCGGGCAACGAGCAGCGGAGTGAGAACCGTGAAACGAGTAACGAAGAAGAGGTACGTCGCTTAAAGAGTCCAGTCATCTCCAAAGAGTTGACCTTGATCTTGAGAGGGAACGAGAGAAAGAGACAGGGAGAAGAAGAGAGAGATAACAGTAAGGTGCACCAGGAGGGCCAGAAATAAAGGCAGCAGTTAAGGCGCGTTTCATCGCCTTCTTATTTTTGGCATTCGCGCGAATTCGAGGGGGGACGTGCTAAAAATTCAATCCCACGCTAGGAGTTACTTAGTGGTAGCCGAGGGAGAGACGTTGATACATTCGACGGTGGTGCTTGAAAATTCGCCTTCAATTACTTGAAAAAATATTTAAAAAATACGCTTCAATCCTTATACTGCCATTGGGATTAAATTGACTTGAAAAGAATCACCCCTACAGAGGATAACTCATCATCATCAAAACCACCCTCATTGGGTCCTCTTTCTGAAAAGTCCTCAAACGAATTAGTAAGTCCGTGCAAAATTCTCCAGCGAGTATTAGAAGCCAGAAGTCTCGAGCCCGGCTTAAAGTTGGCGTAGTTGTAGAGAAAGACAAGGGGAGATGCCCGTGGGCTTTTTTCATGGTGTTGCGGGGGCCCGAATGGCGGCGACGATGCTGGTGGTTTAGGCAGTACGCGTTGCCTTTTCGCACACCAGTCTTAAGGCTGGTCCAAAACCTGCAGATAATTATCCGCGGACACGTGTCTACGTATGTCGTTCAAGAACAATCAGTGGACAATAGGAGATACATACAAGTCCAGCTTAATCTTGGACTGATCTTTCGTCTTCGGACTCGTCCAAATTCAGACACTTGTCCGTAGACACGTGTTTGAGTATAGTCCGCGGACTTTCAGACAGTCCTCGGACAATGTCTGTAAGTTTGGACGAGCCTTTAGCCTCTGAGCAGACGTAGCGTTTTCGTTCTCTCCTCTCGCGGTTCGCCGCGCTGGGTATAATGGCAACGTGTTTTCGTCTAATGTACTTTTTGTGATGTCCTTGATGGAGGAGTCTGCGAATGCAGAACTACAGGGCATGCCCGGTGGGGCCTTCCACGGAGCGGAGAGAGGGGAGGATCCGCTGGATGGAAGAGGAAAAGAGAGAGAAAGATGGGGAGAGGGGTGGAGAAGGTGGACAGGAGGGCCCGGCAGCACCTCAACCCACCTCAACTTTGGGCCTAGTCAAGGTCAGTGAGGCAGGCCCCACCCTCTTCTCCCCCCCTACCTTCTTCTCTCTACCATCTTCTCGCTTCTTCTTGCGGGACTTCTTCTTTAGGCTTCACCTCGCCTCGCGTCCCTCTCAGGATGCGGCCCGCACCGCATTATCGCGTCATACCATGTTGGGACCCACGCCCTCCGCCGTTTTGCTTCACCTTTTTTCCCGGTCTTTTCCCCTCGGGAACCCGCGAAATCCCAATTAGTGGAGATACCCGCTCGATACCGGTCGGCCACCGTATTGAACGACGAATCTCGCGCGAATAATCGTCGAATACGCGCGAGGATGGTTCGTTGGATGTATAGAATGAAAAGATACCAGCCGAATATCGAAATGATCCATATCCATAAAAGGGGCGAAGGAAAGATTAGGATTCGTCTCTCTCTCTAATGATCTGTATAATCATAAGTTGAGGACCACAGGGCCAGAAGTTCGTGTAACCGGTCATGCTCACACTTTTGCATGATGCACGTACACTAGAAGCGTGTTAGGTTTCAAAGAAATGAAAGAAACAGAAGCGGTCGACGTTGATGAATGAAGCTGATGAATCAGACATCCTCCGCGAGTATTCTCGAAAGACCTTTCTTTACGATCGCGGGTGTCATGATAAATAGACCGCTCTTTATTTTTCTCTTTTTTTCTTTCTCATTCTGCCACGTGATATCCGACGCGGCTATTTGGTGCGCCCTCTCGTACGCGCGCGCATGTATGCGCCCTCGTGCTTTCATAAAGCTTCAGAAAAAGGTTCGACGTAAAATGAAACACCACCCCTTAACCCAGACTGAAGTATCATATTGGAATTAACTCAAATTTAAATCTCATTTCTAGCCCCAGCATCTCAAACAGAAGAAGAAGATTCATTCACCGTCTTAGAACTCGAAGAAGTATCATCGAGGACCTTTCTGAATCTGCGAAAGAGCATTCCCTGTCATGTTGCATTTGCACCGCAGATACAGCTCGGAATGTCTGGCGATAATGATCTACGGACAAGGTAGGTATAGCGCTTTCGAGAGAATCGGTGATGAAGAAGGATCCGAGATAAAAAGAGAGAAAGATGAAGAGGAGGAGCAGAGGCGGTAATCCGAGGCTCGGATGTGAGTGAGCAAAGGCATGCTAGTACCAAATGAGATTGGATCCCGACCACGTAGGACGACTTCTGGGCCCTGCTAGTTTGCCAGGGTCCTTTAGATTCGTCCAAGCCGAGTTTCTCTCCCCGCCATTCGTCGGGTGTCGAAGTTGCATTCCCATCGACGCCATTCGAATTCGTTTCAGCCCGGGATACTGGCGAAAATATTCACCGACCAGTGATTTGCATTTATTCGCTGTAGCTGAATTTTATGCTCTCTGTCCGTGGGACACGTGTAAGGGAACACCGACTACCGTTATGACAGGCGATCATAAAAGTTTCGACGATTTAAATCGACGATTTATGCGCCTCTAAACTAGCCGCGTAATCAGCCTCCCATTCGTTTAATTGCTGGAACAGCTCTCGGAGAATTCGCAGTCACGGTAATTTTCTAGTCCCCTTTCAGGACCTTCCGTTGGCCCGTCAGTCGACTTTTGGACTTTCCAACGATTCGGTAGATGTTTCAGCTCGTGTACGTACACACGCATCGCGCCGTACACTAAAAGAACCTTCCCTGCTTTGCCATATGGTTTACAGCGTTGGTGCTGAACTTGTGCACCGCCGTCACTGGCATCGGGTTACCCAGCCCTCTGCCTTTCCTGCTCGAAAAGTCCTCGGTTTAATGCGCCAAATGCATTCTTTGTTTGAATATGTACGAGTGTGAACGTGGCTCTTTGCCGTGTATTTTTGGCTGGTCGAGAAAAAAAAAAACATGCTTATATACTTCACAGCGGGTAGAAGTTTCTTGAATTGCTATCTTAGAAAGTCAGCAGTTTGTAGGTAAACCTACATCTGGCTAAAAGCCACCTCATTAAGAAATGACAGTCGCTTCTTACTCGCCGATTTAAATGTCCTCCTCATGAATACGTTCGACAAGTTCTCGCATAGAACCTGCAGCTGCACGAATTCGGAGGTAGAAAAGAGAAAAGAGAAAAAAGAATTGGCCATTAAACGAGGCCGCGGAAAGATTAGATCTATCCAGAAGAGATAGGATAGAGGGCAAAAATTTCGTACCGTGTTTCATGGCTATTTTTCAGAGGGAATCTAATTATCCAGAATTCCCTTTTTCCGGGTAACGTGCGTGAGCCGGCATTAATTGGTGCACGGGCGACGGGCATCTGCGCGTAAAACGTGCGTGATATAATATAAACGGAGCTGAGCTGCAGCTGCAGGTACCGAAAAGCCAGTGCAACGGTTTCAATTGTCCGCAATATGGCTGCCGTCTCGGCCTAGGCCTCATAGTCGTTATCCTTGAAAGGCCCGTGCACAGTGTTTCGTTTTGTTTTAGCACGCGGGTGCGACCGAGAAAAGAAGAAAGAACGAAACAAGGGTATACACCGAGGAGCGGGATAAGAGGAGAGAAAGAGATAGAACGAGAGGAACCACGCCACAATGAGGGCCCGAATGTTGCAAAACCGCCTATATCCGTGACTATACCCACACCAACGGCTTGTACAAGAAATGATAATTACCGTCTGTCTCCTCTTTCCTCTCTCTCTCTCTCTCGACATTTCTTCCTCGTCCTCTTCGCCGCTATCGTTTCCTTCCTACCCCGCCAATTGCTCGTTTATTTCGGACCGTTTATTCGTCACGGATTCGACTTCGATCTTTTAGCAAGATTGCGATCCTCGCTTTTCTTTCCTTCGGTAAAAAGTGAAACTGATGCTCCTTCATCGACAGATGCATCTAACAGATATTTGAAGAGGACGAGATAGAAAATTCGTAGAGAAAAATGTATAACGATGTAGGATAGAGGATTTGTAAGCTACAAAAGTACTCGTTATCCCGGACAACAGAGGATACAGAATTTTTTACGGGCACGGTTCCCATGAAAAATCACTCCAGCTCCTACAATACTGCCCTCTGTGCGGCCAGTCATCCCGATTCAACGGTCAGAAGCCATATGTTCCTGGTCGAATGTGCTAAGAAGTCATTGAAGGAACCGCCGTAATGAGAGACCACCCAATGAGTGTTTCGCGGCGATCACCGTCCGACCGGAAACACGAATCGAAACGGCTTCATTATGCCTTTTCATTGCTTCACCTTCTGTGCGCGGATCATCGTCGATATCCCGTGATTCGAGAACGAAGCGATTTCACAATTTTCAATTTTCCAATTCCGAAAGAGCAGGAATATCGGATCGCAATCATTGGGAACAATGGCAGCAACCGCGTCGTAATATTGTAGCAAATCATCAAGCCTTCTCAGCCTCGAAGGTTTCTTCTACCTGCCGTCCAAGAAAGAAGGCATTATGGCCGCCGTAAAGCACTAAAACACCCTGATAGTTGTGGAGGGCCCGCGGGGAAGGTAAGTGGACATTAGCGGCCGTATTGTGAATCGGACCGCATCATCCACCGAAAACTAGCAGCTTCGGGACAGCACAAAGGAAACGTCGATTCAGTTTGCGCCTTCTTGCCGGACCCCGAGAAGAACGCGTATATACACTTGCGCCTCTGTTTTGTGGCGTGAATGAGTATGCGTCCGCGTGTAGATGAGAAGAGGAAGCCGGGTTTTACGCTTCGTGGGTATATGCGGCCCTTTTTAGCTCCCTGGCCCACTGGCTGGCGGGTAGAGGGGGTCGCTAGAGTATCCGACAACGCTATTGGTTACCGAGATTGCGTTACTCTCCCGATAGAGGCCCGACAGGAATCCTGGTTACATCGAGCAACCATGATCCGAAAGCAAAATTACAAATAAATCGTTGAATCAAATCTTCAGGATCCTCAAATGACAACGGATGTCATAACTTGTCATCCCTCGTCAAAGAACTTTTATCTGAAATCGAAATTGCAAAATCCACCCCTCCGGAGAAGAAACAGGTACGGTCGCGTTATTTTAAGGGATTTCGAGATTTTCAACAATGGAGATCGACGAGTGACCCTTCCGTCAAGGCTGGCTTAACTTTCGAAAGACTTAAGAAAGACTGTCCCTGACAATGGACGGAGGGGTTGTTGCAATTTGCATCGCACAGAAAAATCGTTCCTCTTTCAAGGGGGTCCAGTTCGACGTCTGTTACACTTGCCGACGTTAAGATGACTCGAACAACAGCCAGGTTTTCCGGTCATTTGCGTACACCCGTGGGGATGGTCAAGAGTTAGGTCAGGTTAAGGCAAGGAACCCCGACCTGTGCATCTCGTTTCTCCCTTCGGTGAAACGTTTCGACCATGGTGCCGGTTGGTGAAAAGAGTTTCACCTGACCCTCTTCAGCTGTACAGAGAAGAGGCACACCTCACGCCCTCTATAGTTTCGACTTTTGTCTCAGGTGAAAGGGTCAGCCCCTTTTGCGGTCAGTCGAACTGACGGCTGAATATCGGCGTAAGTGGATTCTTTGCAAAAAGCATAGGTAAGAGAAAGGTGACGGTGACCTAGAAAACGATCGATAATCCAGCATGTTGGTTTTAATATACGTTTGAAATTCGATAGGCGTTCAACTGGTCCCACGAAACAGGTTCCCCGAGAATCTGACCAAAAGTAAGTGACTATTAACGGTAGAACGGTTGTATACGAAACTTATCATCCCCGGCTTAATAGCCAGACTATGGAGGGAGGTGAGTCTCTCTCGGTCGACTTGAAGCCGATAATAAAATACCAATGAGCCAAGTTGGAAGACCTGTTTCCACGTGGGCCCTCTCTTGATCGTTCGCGCAGCATCTCTGGGATGTTAATCCGTAGAGCGTACGTAGGTGGGCGCACGCAGCCTATGGTACCTGTCAAAAACTGGCGCTGCAACAATGCCCGAGGTCCGGGGGCCCCCTTGGCAGAAGTTAACCGCAGCACAGCAGGACTACTAGGGCCAGTTCGCCAGTGAAGATCGGGTCTTTTGCGTATCGCGAGAGAAATAAGTCACCCAGTGGCGCGGAATCTTTGAAATTCATTCGTCTAGAATCTATAATACTCAGCCTTCCAAGACCTAATGATTCAAAGTTTAAGTATGTTTAAATTGTTTGAATATTTGAAGTAGAAAGTTTGGAACAGTAATCATTAATTCATTTTTTCCAAGAACATCCTGTGCATTTTTAAATGTTTCGTGTAAAAGTACTTTTATTTGATTTCTAAAATAACGTTATCGTTATCTACCGTACGTCATTCGATTCTTTTTTCCGAAAAGTCTGACGCCGTTCGAGGAAGCGTTCGATAATGGAGATTCACTGGGTCTACGCCAGTGGGGCAGCAGGTCAATGCTGCCGTAAGGATCTCGGTGAGGACAAAGAGATCCTTTCCCTACCCTGATCCTTTCCTCTCGCTTCAACAGAACCTCCCCTACTTCCATCCCCACCCTCGTCTCATTGCACTAATGCAAGTGCGGCTGCACCGAGGAACGGCGCAACGCTGCTGCAACGACAAACTGCAGCTGCCAAATGCAACCCCCTTCTATCGAGCGATACTTAACTCCCCTCCATCAACGTCTCAACTCTTCGAATCATCATGAACAAACGTCACGAATACGAAATTATCCAATTGAAAGGGGCTCGTGTTTCGCGAATCATCGTTGCTAACAGCGAGGCGTCGTTATTACTGACAAGTCGAATGAACGATTAGTATTACCAGTTATTACGCTTTTTAATAATATTGAAAGGAAATTCGAGCGAGAATTCCGCTATGGCTCCTTTCATAAGTTACGGACGCGGTTGCATTTCGTGACGTCGGAGATGCGGAGGAAGGTGAAAACGAAGTATCCGTACCTGGGCGTCGTTTCTCGGCAGCGAAAACGAGAGCGCGGTTAGGAATTTACACTTGAAAGGTCGGAATTAACGCTTTCTTTTTCGGCCGTTTAGGGGCCCTCGTTAGTACCATTGTCGCGGCTACCAGCGTGCCCCGAGCGCAGCCGATTCTCTTCCCCGAAAAGAATTAAAGGCGGTGCCATTATTCCGGCGTGTTTTCTTTTGCGTGCAGCCGTAAGTATTATTTTGTGGTTCGTTTCGCACAGTCAGCCAACCAATGGCCCGATAAAGGCAACCCTCGTGCGTCCAAGTGCAAATCGAACAGAAGCGAAGAAGTGCCAGAGAAAGTTGAATAAGCTTTTTGAAGTGAAGATTCATGGTGCAATTAAGAGATATGTTCTTTTTTTTCAGATTGATATTTGAAAAGCTTCGAGGCGCGCGAATGAAATTTACTTACGACGATCGTCGGTCTCGGAGGCACGCACAGATTCACTAATTGCAGATCATCGCGACCCTCGTGCAGCGTGGCCCTTCCGTTCGACCTTTCCTGAAAGTCCATCAAATTCTTATAATATTGAAACATCAGTCCTTTTTTTGTGCTTTATAGGATAGTCTGGAGAGTTTAAGTCATTCCTCCTCCTTTTAAAATAATTCCTTTTAAAGATGACAGTGACCCAAAGGATAATCGTTAATCGAAGGTTTTAATATTATTTCTCTTCCTAAATTTATATAATTTCTATTAATAGCTTCAGGATATTCTTCAACATATTTTTTTACCCCCTCAACGATGAACAACCACCCCCGCATAATTCTCGCCTGTCTACACGAAATCCTTCATCGAACACTGTTTCACTGTTTCACCGTCGAAAGGATCGGCCAACCCTCGAACAAAAAGGAACCTCTGTACAGTTGATCCTACCTTTTTCTACCTTTACGATTCTAAGGCCCGTGTGTCGGTTCTAGAAGGAGAAGGAGAGGAGAAGAAGAAAAACGATCCGTACGGTCAAGAAAGAGAAGGTACTTGCGGATTCCCTCCAACAGTTGGTACTAATGATCCAACTCGGCGAAGGAACATCGACGGTATCCGGTATCGTGTAACTCGCTAAGTGAAAATACGCGTAGATCCAGCTAAGATACAAGATCGAATCCCTCCTCTGCTCGTCCTGCCAGTCTAGTCCTGCGAGAAACAATAAAAGCAGTAACTGGCCACGGACATAATCCAGCAGGACCAGCAGCCTCCTTCTTGCGTGTCCTTCGAATATAACCTTAGCTCCTCGTCACGCTAACGGATCTCGCCTGAACTGTTCAGTTTTTCGGCTGTACAGCGTGTCTAATCCCAATGCCAGGACCTCGAGATGTCGCAGGCTGCATATGGTCGTTTGACAAAATATCCGTGACGTTGATGGAGGATCAACCAGTCGTCCTAAGCGAGTAGCTTCTTGTATTCACTTAAAGAAACAATTCTTAATATTTGTCTAGTACGGGTATTGCGCGAGCATTTATTTATTTATGACCCTCTCTTGTAAAGGGATCGTCGGAAAAATGCAGGAAGGATTGTTGTTCAGAAGGGACGGGTTCAATTAGTCGGCTTCCAGCAATATGGTGGTCGTTTTATTGACGCCGTTTATTGCTACCTCTTTATTGTTTCTTGCCTTTCGAAGAAGCGCCGTATAATCGTTGACAAAGAGCAGACTTTCTGCTGCGTAATTTATTTCGTTGCGTTCGTCCCGTCGAGAATGGCGGAATTTCGCGTGTCATTCTTTACGCATCAACGTGTTGCAAACATCGGTGCATGAAAGGGCAAACGCTTTCTCCGTCCCTTTTTCTCTCTGTCTCGACTTTTCGACTTTACAGGGTACTGGATCTCGACGTTAGCCCCGGAAAATTTATCTCCCTTTTCTCCTTTTCGAACGGCCAGCTATTGCTAGAGTTTCCCATGCGAACGTAGAGCGTCATACCATCGACACCCTTAGGATGGAAAGAGAGGAACGAGCTGAGGAACAGGAAGGAGGATGAACGAGAAGAAACGAGACGGAGAGAAGAGCAGAGCAAGTGAGAATATATACCTGCTGGTGGATATTAAAGCGAACATCATACCCTCGTCACTTTTACTGGCCCTCTCTCCGTCCTTGTTACTCCCCTTTATTTCTTGTCCTTTTCGCTACCAGACCACGCGTTCACCCTCTTTATCCCGCCCCCGATCTCTCCTCTCGCTCGTTCTTTACCATCCTGCAAGTTAAACACATGGAGAAAAAAAGAGAGGATACCGTGCGCGGCACCAACTGCAA